ACTTAAATAATTGCTTATTTTTTATCTTATTTTATATTTATTTCACTAGTTTTGACAAGAAATCGATGCCTCCTAATCAGGACTCGCTCAAGAAACACATGAGATCAAAAGTAAGTGATCCCGCAGTCCTGATCCACTGGCGTTGCATCGCTGCGCTCGGGCAGAGGACTGAGGAGAGGAATTCCGAGGACAAACAAGTCGTCAAGACGTGTCAGACTTTACCAAAATCATTATAAATAAAGTATCACATCACAAGTCTTGTTTTTAGATAAAATCTAAAACAGGAGGAACTGCAAAAAGGCTGAAGTTTGTAAAGAAGTCACTGACATGTGTCAGAATTATCTGGCTGAACTTCGAAGGAAGACCGGTTTGGAGGAAGCTCAACGCTAAATTTGGACTTTGCCCAACGAAAGTGTAACAATTCACACATTTACAGGACACCCCTGGATATTCAGAGACTTTACTACTGGAGACAAGATTGTGGTTAAGCATGAAGATCACTTGAAAGAGGATTTAGCATGTAGAGACCATGATGAACAAGAAATTGAACTAGAACTACAACTTCCCATCTACACAGGCAAAGAAGAAGAAGCTGTACCTGAAATAAGCAGGAGCACATTGTACAGTAACAATGTAAAATTAATTATAAAGCAAAATTGTATAACTGATTACTTTCACATTGATTTCTCCATTTTTAATTTCAATATTCTTGAAGATGAGTGTACTATTTCTACTACTATTACTGGTTGCTATAATGGCAATGTCTTTAATAATAATAAAAATAATGTACGTAACCCTACTAAAACAAGTGTATACATTTCAAAATGTAAACGTAAGAGAGCCAGGCGTAAAAAGTAAGTACTAAGAATAAATTTTAACCACATAAAAATTGCCTTCAATAACGTCAGAGGTTATAAGAGCAAGAAAAATGAAATACAGCATGTTATGCAACAAAAGTTTGACATACTTGCAATTGTCAAACCTTTGTTAATGATGACGACCAAATTTTTGTTAATAATTATAACTGGATAGGCAAAAACAGTAAAAGCACCTACAAGAAAACTCAAGAGGGTACTGGAATGTTTATTGAAAATAATATTAATAACTGCTTACTTTTTATCTTATTTTATATTTATTTCACTAGTTTTGACAAGAAGTCGGAGTCTGCTATGCCTCCTAATCAGGACTCGCTCAAGAAACACATGAGATCAAAAGTAAGTGATCCCACAGTCCTGATCCACTGGCGTTGCATCGCTGCGCTCGGGAAGGGGACTGAGGAGAGGAATTCCGAGGACAAACAAGTCGCCAAGACGTGTCAGAAATCATTACAAATAAAGGATCACATCACAAGTCTTGTTTTTAGATAAAATCTAAAACAGGAGGAACTGCAAAAAGGCTGAAGTTTGTAAAGAAGTCACCGACACGCATCAGAATTATCTGGCTGAACTTCGAAGGAAGACCGGTTTGGAGGAAGTTCAACGCTAAATTTGGACTTTTGCCCAACGAAAGTGTAACAATTCACACATTTACAGGACACCCCTGGATATTCAGAGACTTGACAAGATTGTGGTTAAGCATGAAGACCACTTGAAAGAGGATTTTGCATGTAGAGACCATGATGAACAAACAACTGAACTTCAACTTCAACTTCCCATCTACACAGGCAAAAAAAGAAGCCGTACTTGAAATAGGAGCACATTGTACGGTAACAATGTAAAATTAATTAAGCAAAATTGTATAACTGATTACTTTCAAGTTGATTTCTCCATTTTTAATTTCAATATTACTACTACTACTACTGGTCGCTATAATGATAATGTCTTTAATAATAATAATAATAATGTACATAACCCTACTAATACAAGCGTATACATTTCAAAATGTAAACGTAATTGAGCCAGGCGTAAAAAGAAAGTACTAAAAAGAAATTTTAACAACGTAAAAATTGCCTTCAATAACGCCGGAGGTTATAAGAGCAAGAAAAATGAAATACAGCATGTTATGCAACAAAAGTTTGACATACTTCCAATTGCCGAATTTAATGACGACCAAATTTTTGTTAATAATTGTAACTGGATAGGCAAAAACATAAAAAGCACCTACAAAAAAACTCAAGAGGGTACTGGACTACTTTTTATATAGCTGTCTGTTACTTTCTATGTGAAGGCTCTGAAAATGTTAATTTATAATTAAAGAAAATAACGAAGAAGCCAAAATTATGGTGCTTGGCGATTTTAATGGTAAAGTGGGTAAAATTCTTCCTAATGGGGATAAATTATTAACTTCAATGGTCAAGGTTTAATTGACCTCTGTGATAACAGTGACATGACTATGCTTAATGGTTCAGTAAAGGGTACAATCTAGCGTACTTGATTATGCTATTGTTTCACAAAATATTTACGAAGTAACAAAAGAATTGATTATAGACGAATTTTTCAATTCCATTACATATAAGGCGAGTTTAACTGGTATTATGGTCCTTAATTTTACATAGCAATTTCTGTGGCCAAATTATATGGAACAATTCAATAAATAACAATCTGCATTTTTTTGAAATCTTCTTAAATAAATCAAGATTTTTGGAAATCGTTGATTAATAAGCCTAAGTCAGTCAGTAAGCTCATAATATTGTGCATCAACCCTGTGAGCAATGAACAAAGAAAAGTTTGTGAAAATAATGAGATACTTGTGAGAAGTTGCAAGATGAAGAGTGCATACGATATATGAATTGTTTGAGCTAATAATAAACTTACCTCCTTGTAATGAATAAGTAATTGGACTTTCACAAGGACAAGGTGCGCCTTTCACATGTGGAGGGTTTATATCCATCACCTCAGCCCTACCATGGTTAGGACTGAGGTAATAAAATTATATGATTATGGCGCCCCAAGATGGCAGGAAATGTCACTCTCAGACTACTTGAATTTGAATATAATTTTCTATTTTTCTCCATTTTATAATATAATTTAGGGGTGGGCCCATCTGAGCTGGCTGCCCCTCCCCCCTGAATCCGCCATTGAAGTGTATGAGTATTAAGTTTTTATACTACAAATTTTGTATGATTTTTGTATCATGCCAAAAATAGAATTCAATTATTATAATTATCATTAGTATTTTTATTATAATAATTCTAATAATTATTGTAACTATTCATATTTTTGTATTATGATTGTATTACTATATTGTTATGATTAATAAGTTCAGCATATGCCTAAATGCAGCTAAATTGTGGCAGAAGTTTAATTCAAGATTAGAAAAAAAGGTCCATAATTGTTCTTTGATAATGGAGAAAGGTGGACCCAGTACAAAACAATTTTGGCACGAGCTTAAAGGAAAGAAACATAATCAAAAAGTTGATTCTTTGTTAATCCCAGGTACATCTACTTATACATCTAATCCTAATGCTATGAAAAATGTTTTTAAATCTCACTTTAGTATTATATTGTTAATTTTGATGAAAGTATTGAGCACAATATGTTTCAATCGTCGGACGAATCTTCATTAGTATTAGATCATATTGATATTTCATTTGATGATGTGGCATATTCTATTTCAAAATCTAAAAACAATAAAAGCCCAGGTATTGACGGATAATCACTAATGAAATTATTAAAAATGGGGGTGATTCATTGACCAGATTGCTTCAACAATTATTTAGGTTTAACTTAATTGAATGTATTCCTAACAAGTGGAATGAAGGTACAATTATACCTATACTTAAAAAAGGCGATCCTCACAACCTTAATTATTGAGGGATAACACTCAGTTCATGTGTACTGTAGCTAAAGTATTTAATAGAATTCTATCTCACAACATTTCTAATTTTATGTAAGAAAATCATATTCTTACTGTCACAGGTGACATAATATTAGATGTTTAATTAATTTTTTGTCATTATTAAGGAATGGGTTTGCTACCAATAAAGGTAAGGAGGTTACGTTATATCAATTTGCTGATGAATATCCAGGGCTGTGTTAAACATGTAAACCAGAAAGTCGTGCATGATATTGATTGGCTGAGAGCTACAGTATGAATAATGAGAAAGGTTGTGAAATTTTAAATTGGGTGTGATTTGGAGGGGGACTTGGTTTTGAGGTGTGCAAGATAGAGGACAATGTCCGAAATTTTGAGAATACAGATAGAATTGTGCACACAGCCGACATATCAATTGCCATAATAATATGTGTATTTTGAGCATTGAATGTTGCAAATAGGCAGGGAACCGGAATTGACGACTGCTACATCAGAAAAATAGCATATTGAGAATGCAAATTGGTGAGCTCAATATTAAACTTATACAAGGTGGCGGTTGCAGCTAAAACTACGGATCTAAATGAGCTACGGTACCTGCATGGTGAAAACCAGAAATTTTACACATACTCCTGATACGTGAGTTACAGTGAACTTATTATTGAGTTAAACTTTGTTAACGCGAGATACGTAACAAAATTAACGAGAAGTTGAAGTTGAGACCGTATATGCGAGTTACCTCACGGTGCAGAAAACGTACGGAAGTGAAATGCATTATTTTGAATTTGAATGGTGAACTCTACCAGCTAATAACGGAGTGAATAAAAGTGAACTTATTATTGAAATACATATAATATAGAAAGCATATTGATATTACATAATTGTGAAAAAAAATTAATGATCATAAGATAAGCCATCTGTCAAAAGATATTTAATTCATTTGTAATTAACTTGATCAAAAATATTTATTCTGATGTAACGTTGACCTAACGTTTGCAAGGTAGCACAGTTATAATGTAAATGTAAGTACCAGTATTTGATAATTATTTGTTTGATGATTCTTTGTGTCTCCTGTAAATACATGTTCGGACCTTTTGTTAGACGGGTTCATAGAACCCGAACAAGATATTTAACGTTGACTTTTGGTTGCAAAGGTTGATTTATGGTTACCGTTACTTTTAAAACGTTTAGATAACGTTATGATTATGTTGAAATGCAAACTATTAAAATACAAACGTATAAATAACGTTTGGTGAACGTTCATTTTAGGTTCGTCAAACAACGGTTGGTATGCAAACGTATATGTAACGTTGACCTAACGTTCGCAAGGTAGTGGTTATAATGTAAAATATTTAAGTATTTGATAATTATTTATTTGATAATTCTTTGTGTCTCCTGTAAGTACATGTTCGGACCTTTTGTCAGACGGGTTCATAGAGGCCGTGTGACACTTACTAAAGTCCAAGGCGGCTTTAGAAAGGATAGACGATGTGAGGATCAAATTTTTGTCCTAAAAAGTATTATTGCTACAAGACCAGAAGAAGGAAAAAAACATACTTGGCTTTTATTGATTTTAGAAAAGCCTTTGATTCTGTTTGGCATCAAGGTCTTATAACAGCTGCTACACGTATCAAAAAAACTGAAAGTATTAAATAAGGAAAAAAAAGGTTGTACTCTAAACAAATTTACAACACTTTTATATACTCCAATACTGTACATTTCAAATGTATTCAAAAGTGGAACGACACTTTAAACCTGCAAATCACAAGATCGTAATGGTACAAGATATGTGAATATAATTGGAAATCAACCCAAGAAATTAAGTTTCGTTGGTTTCAATTTCAAATTTTAAACACAATTCTATGTACAAATACTCTATTGGTTAAAATGGGTAAAGGTGACAATTCTCATTGCATGTTTTGTAAGAAATTTGACGAGTCGATTATACATATAATATTTTGTTACTGTGATATTATTAATCTCTACTGGAACAGTTTCCAGACTTGAGTAAATGATTCCTTAAAGTAAATTTAGTGCTGAGTAAAAAACTGGTCCTTTTGGGAAATTTTGAAGAAAGAGATTATGTTTTTAATAACATATTAATGGTTTTAAAATTCCATATTTATAAATGCAGGTTTAAAAATTGTATGCCTATCTTCAAGAATGCATTAACTGAGATAAAACATTTCTATAAAATGGAAAGGTATATGTTTGATACCAATTGTAAGAAAAACGAATTTAAAGTATGTTGGCATAACTGGCGCACTCTTTTAGAAGAAAAATGTAACGGAATGTATAATAGATTATTTAGGTTGGAAATGGCTGACATTGTAATTTATGTTATGCTATGTTACTCCGTGGTATTACATGGATACCTAGATATGTGGATGAATAATTAAAAAAAAAAAAAAAAAAAAAAATTCCCCTATTGGTGAACTAGTCAAGTTGGTAGTGTTAGGAACTGCAAATATAGACCAATATTTAAGCACAATGTATGAGTTTGGTAGGTGGATTACTCACCACACTTGGGATGAGGTGTGCATGCTAAAAGTACACAAGAAAAAATAAGCGCTTTTTATTCGACCACTGTTGAAGCCATTTATCTACATTTTCCAATCAGATCTGCTATTGTTGCATTCCCTAGATAAGGCGTGGATCACACCAGAAATAAAAGTATTAAGAAACGTCAGAAAGCCTTTTTAAACAATGATATCCATTGGCGTCCCCTACGAAACAAAGTAACGAACAAAATTGCGACTGCCAAAAAAGCATATTAGAAAAATAATTATCTTTTAGGCCTATGTTATTTTATCATTATTTTAATTATTTTTATCAAATTTTTTGTAAGCATTGTCATAGCATTGTTTGTAACTACAGTATATCCTAGTGTTTTAATATTTTAATATTCGCCAATGGTACTGTAAATATCACACAATTCAGCTAATTTATGCACTGTCATGTTGCTAGATGAATGAAATGAAATGAAAAAAGAAATGAAATGAAATCTTGCAATCTGCCGAGAAATATTGTGGATCTTGGAAAAACAGAATAAAATACAAGATATGTTGAACGAGCTAGTAGAGGTCAACATTCTTAACACAGGGGTAACTTATTAGGGACATACATGAAAGAGATTGCAATTAAGGTTCAGACACTGAACAAATGGAAATGGAACTGCATCTTCCACTATACACTTTAAAAGAAAGAATCATCGAACCAAAGAAGCATTAATGAACTACCTATTAATCGATACAACATGAAATATTTCTTTTAAAAATGGGTAGTGCCAGAGAATGAATTCACTTGTACAACAAATAACAGGCCAGTGGAAAATATAAACAACATTGGAGACATACAAGTGAAAGAGGAGGAAGATGAGTGCCGCCTCCACCTATTTCAACAACACAAGTTTTTCTCGAACCACTTGATTAGTACTGAAAAAAGAAGTCTTACTATAGCTATCGAGTGGCAGTGCTATAGAATAGTTTACCATATGACATTCGATCTGCAACTACTTTAAATTACTTTAAATTAAGAGTAAATCATTGCAGTAAACTCACCTTTAAAAAACAACTGTTTATTTATACGTATTTAAACGACTAAAAAGCTTTGTAAATCAATTTGGAATTGATTGAGTAATGCCGAAAAAGATAAAAATGTGATGAGAATATTTAACAAAATGTGGGTAGTACAGTAGGCCTAAATGTCTGGTATATTGTACTTTTTATTCTAAGGGCAAAAGCCAAGTGTTAAACTTTTTAAAACTGACTGAAAGAAGATCAAAGCTAGTGGTCCTTTCATTCTTGTCTGTCATCATCATACTGTATATATTATTACTGTATAAATTATATAAAATATATACAGTTAAACTTCCCTAAGTTGACTGTGCCTAAAATCTTCAGTAACCCACAAATTTAGGCCTATGAACGAACGCAATTTGAAATGTGATTTTGATGGACATTTAAAATCCCATAAAATGGTATTATTTGGAAGATTAACCCTGCATTTGGCAGCATCAAGACCAGTAAAATGTATGAATTCCAATGGTTAAAGGAGGGGCTCGTCTTCATACACCCAACATACAACAATCATCCAAAAATCTTCACTCAGCGGTCATCTTATACACAAAGTGAACATGGGCAACAACCATATTTAAAATAGACTGCAGAAATTTTAACTATGTACAAGATATAGTACATTAATATAAATTTTCTGGCATTTTTTAAAATTTCATAACAGATATGAACTGCTATTTTTAATATTTCTAGGAATTGAAGGAATTTTATATATAAATCTACTTTTATTATTTTAATTATTGGCTTGATTTTTTAACCAACAATAGTAGACTTTTTATGTACCATATGGTACTTCAGTACCTTGGGAGTGTGTCTTGGCTCTGCCTAGGTTATTTTTCCTCGTAGATCTGTCTATCGTCTTAAAAAAAATATCTTTAAAACATTACCTAATAGTTGTCAGTCTTATTCAAAAACCTGTTTGATGTCCAAATGTGTTTGGTTTGAATATTAAAGAGATTTTCAGAACTTTGGTGGAAAATTCCAGTTACTGGTGTTGAGTATTTTTTATCAGTGCCATTCACAGGTGTCACACAGGTGTCATGGGGTCACACACGTCATACACTGATGGTCCTGAATATATTAAATCCGCTGAGTGCTGTGCTAATAATCACTCCAGCAATTTGCGGGTGCCAGTGGAGCTCCTTAATGTCCTTCTGCCCTTGGTGAATAAATAAGAGCTGCGGTGGAATGGCAGCAAGTTCTGCAGATGCAGAGTCTGCTTCCTGGTTCCTCTCTACTGCAAGATCCCATAATGTCAATTGATCATCTGCACCTGATGCTGCGAATACCGTAGAGTCTGTTGGATGCCATTCCACAGATGTAATGGGACCTGTATGATGTTTAAATTTTGCCACAGGATAAGGGGAAGTCTAGAAATAAAATAAAATGTATAATAATTGTGAGTAGGAAAACATAGGTCAATTTATATAGCACTTTATATCAGAGTCCCAAAGGGATGTGGATTAGCTCATACAGTAACTTTCTTCTCTCCTAAGGTTCTCTTCATGTCTGAGCTACCCGGTAAACCGGTACCAGCTACTCTCATATGTCCACAGCAAGGGCTGAATGGACCGGTACACCAGGGTAACCCCCTACTCGTCTCGAAAGATGTACTGGGTTCTTTTAAGTGCATACAAGCCAAATTGTCTACGCTGGGCTTACAGTTTATAGTGCTTATCTGAGGAGACTTGTTGTACCATTAGTACAGAGATGAGTGTGCCCTTCGAACCATTGCCGATATTATGGCTGAAAGTTATGGCGCCCTGCACTAACCACTCGGCTATCCAACTCGCCCTAACTATTATTTCAACGCCATAACTATTGTTTCAACACATTATGCTATGGTCTCTGAACTTTTTTTTTTCTTTGCTTCCTTAATTTTTTAAGGTACATATGTATTTTTTAACTTCCTATACTGATGCATTCAAGACTCTTAACTTATAATTCTTATATCTTTAACCACCACTGTAATGTTACAGCCTGACGAATTCCTGATACTTTTGAAAACCAAGTTGAGTACGGTAAGTACTTAATCTCACCTTAGGGTAGCAAATGGTTATGATGCGTCTCACGTGTGTTCATGGATCCTAGCCAGTGCCCTAACAACTACCATCCTTGCTTTCTTGATTCCTGTTAATTCTCTCCTCTACCCTATCTGCCCTTATCTAAATAGTCAATCTCACTCTCTGACTGGAAAGTTGGCATTAGTAAGTCCAACTAGGATTTACAGCCTCTCATATCCAAGTCCTATCCACAACCTACCTGTGGTGCTACCTGTTAACCTTGGCCTCGCAGCTGAGG